CCGGACACTGCAGCCTCAACCTGCTGGGCTCCGGCGATCCTTCCGCCTCAGCCTTCCAAGTAGCTGGAACTACAGGCGCGTGCTACCACGCCCGGCTAATTTTTTTTGATTTATTGTAGAGATGAGGTCTCGCCAAGTTGCCCAGGCAGGTCTTGAACCCGCGGGTTCAGGCAATCCTCTCACCTCGGCTTCCCAAAGTGCTGGGATTACAGGCTGAGCCACCGAGCCCGGCCAATTGTTTGGTTTTCTTTGGTTTTATTCTTATTCCATTTCTTCCCCGAGAGTACAAATCAAATCATCAGGAATATCCAGATGCTAGAGGTCTTTAGTAGCAGAAGGAATCTGGCATGACAAGATGTAGCTTTAGTATGGAACTGAGATGTAAAATTAGACATTGTCCCTTCAGCCTCAACTTAAGAGTGAGAATGAACTATGGTATTTTTCTATCTTTTTTGGGGAGGGTGGGTAGTAAGAAGAGTAATAGATACTTGAATGAACAAAAGTAAGTTTGGGATAAAAATAGAGAGATGGTCTTCTATGGTAATTCTGGACCTTTACTGAGAATAAGTCTTTCTACAAGAATTTCTCTAAAGGAATATGTGATATTGTACTCTCTTGTCTTCTCAATCATTCTCTTTGGTTATTTGGAATTAATTTTTGTTTAAGAATCAATCGATGTTACCTTTCCTCACTGATTCCCCATATGTAAATAAATTTAGAACTGCTTCTACCAGGCATCTTCCTACTTGTCAAATCTGCACTTTTAAATTTTATTGTTGTCATTATTATTACTATTATTCTTTTGGAGACCGAGTCTTGCTCTGTTGCCCAGGCTGGAGTACAGTGACAGAATTATAGCTCACAGCAGCCTCAAACTCCTGGGCTCAAGTGAAAACCCACATTTTATTACACAGCAACAGAGAATGTGGTGGGGAGGGACAAGAAGAAAAGAAAGAGGAAAGATCACTGCCTTGAAGAGGGTGGAGTAATGTGGAGAAGGGAGAGGAGACCCCAAAGACAATGCTGCAGGGTTTGGAGAGACTGGTTTCTCCTGGAGCCAATTTTCATTTCAAAGTCATGTTCTTTTATTTCCCTCCTCCCCTCCAGGCAAAATGAAGCAGAATCTGGTGCAGATCTTTTTCATGCTGCTGCTGCTGCTGTTGGGCCTGGGCCTGGGCCTGGGGCTGGGGCTTCATATGGCTGCCGCAGTCCTGGAGGATAGTGATCAGCCGCTGAATGAATTTTGGTCCAGTGACTCACAGGACAAAACTGAGGCTGCTGAGGAGGGAGAGGGCACTCAAACCACAGAAGCTCTGGTGCTTAACAACAAAGGAGTAGTAGAGCCTGGCTGGCCCGAAGAGTCCATCCTCAGTGAAGATGAGGTTGGAGGAAGCAAGATCCTCAGAGCTGAGGCTCCCTTTCAGGGGGACAAAGACTATCTGAAGTTTGACCTGACAGCTAGGGAATGCAATGCCATGATGGCATCCAAGATGAAGGTGGACAATGAAAATTGCATAAACCAGTACACATTCATTCATGAGGATCTAGATACGGTCAAAGCTGTCTGTAATAGTCCTGTCGTTGCTTGTGAACTCAAGGGGGGAAAATGTCACAAAAGCTCTCGTCCTTTTGATTTGACCGTCTGCAAGTTGTCCAAACCAGGCCAGATCACTCCAAACTGCAATTACTTAACTTTCATTATGGAAAAGGCCATTGTTATAAGCTGTAATGACATGAAGTTCCAGTTAATACCTGGACAATGAAACAACTCATTCTTTTTTTCCTCTTTACCGTTCCCTCTTCCTCTTCCTTTTCTGCTTCCTCTTATTCATGTTGCTTTCTTCTTCTTAGGTATTCTGCAGAGAAGGTATTAGGAAGAGAGGATGGACTATTCTTTGTCAATCTCTCCTGAAAATATAATTCTTCTTTGCCCTGTGGGTCACCCAACTTGCATTTTGTTCCTGGGATTAGAAATGGCAGAATTATGTTGCCTGGTTTTGCTAGGCTCTCTGTCTCTCCTGTCCTATCCTCTGTCCTGGAAATGAATGAGTGAAGAGCAGCTCTAGTCCCTACTGTAGTCCTGGTCATCATTCTATTCCCTGGTCTGAGTTTGCCTCTGGGTATGGAGCTGGAAAAGTTTAATGTGTACTTTACCCATTTCCTTCCCTGCTCTGCCCCCTGAGCCTCTATAGCAATCACATGAGACTGCTGGGCTTTGCACAACTGCATTTCTCTGCTGTGGATGCAATTAAAATGATTTAATCTGTGACTGCATCTGGAGAATAATGTGGATCTGGTTTCTTTTCCTGAGACTGGAAAAATCTAGGGCGGCCGGGCTCGGTGGCTCAGCCGGTAATCCCAGTGTTTGGGAGGCCGAGGTAAGTGGATTGCCTGAGCCCGCGGGTTCGTGACCCACCTGGGCAACTTGGCGAGACCTCATCTCTACAACAAATCAAAAAATCAGCCGGGCGTGGTAGCACGTGCCTGTAGTTCCAGCTACTCGGAAGGCTGAGGCGGAAGGATCGCCTGAGTCCTGCAGGTCGAGGCTGCGGTGGCCGGGAGCGGCCACTGCACTCCAGTCTGGGTGATAGAGTGAGACTCCAACTCAAAAAAAAAAGAAAAGAAAAATCTAGGGCATAGGTTTGGGAGTCTGCTGAGACGGTGTTGTGGCGGTATTGATCTAGACAGAACATTGGTTGGGGCAAGGGTAGCACTCTTTTTCTTGATCCTTCACTGTTTTTTTCTCTTTCCTTTCATCTTTTACTACCTGCATCTTTGCTTTTCTTCTTGTTTTTTCTCTCTTTTCTTCCTTTGCTTCTTCTTTTCCTTTATTTTCTCTGTTCTCCTTTTCCTCTTTATTTTTTTTTTTAAGGTGAGGAGCCCAACATTTTCTTTCTCTGGATCCTTTTGGAGATTCAGTCAACCACTGGTCACTTATGTTATGCCAGCTAAGCAAATATCAGTCCTATAGTCGGAGTCTGGCATAGGGGGCTGGAGAAAGGGTTAAGAAGAGAGGGAATGATTTGAGCTCCTCTGGGTATATTCCCAATAGGGGAATTGCTGGGTCATATGGAAGGGTCAATTTCTAATTCTTTCAGGAATTGACACACTGTACTCAGTGATTTATCACAGAAACAAAGAACAGCGTTCCATATGTTCTCACTCATAAACGGAACTTGAATAATGCTATAAGAAAGTGATTGGCAGTAGTGGGAAACTGTCAGGGGAGGGGGGTTGGGATTGGCAATTGAGGGAAACTGCTAGGGGAGGGAGGGGCATACCTCACCAACAAGGGTACCTGTATAATCAATGACTATATACTTAACCCTGAAATGTACCCCACATCTTTATAATAAAAAAGAAGGGAGGGGTATAGAGAGAGAGAGAAGGAAGAAGAAGAAGAAGAAGAAGAAGAAGAAGAAGAAGAAGAAGAAGAAGAAAGGAGAGGAGAGGAGAGGAGAGAAAACCATTTTTCCCAATTATATTCAAAAGTAGAGTTATGTTCACATTAGGTACTCAGTAGATGTAGAATGGATGGGATGGGACAGAATCTTGTTCTCATTTAGCACCTCTTCCCCTTTCTTGCTCTGAAGAACAAGAAAGTTGATGAAAGAATAATTTCAGCGAAGTATTGGATTTACTCAAGGAGGAAGAAAAATCATGTGGTTGGATAGCGGATGCAAGTGGCTACGCTCAGCCTTTTTCCTCAAGAAATAGTGTAAAAAAAAAATAGTGTAGTTAGACATGTATGGGGCGAAAGGAACCTGAGAAAATGGCTATAAGGATTCACTGAATTGATTTTGAGATTTCCTCCCCCTAGGGTTTTTCTCTGCTTCACCTTTCTAGACTGTTACAGACCCGAGTCAGGGACATTATACATGAGAGGCTAAAAGAAAGAAAAGTTTGCTTTGCTCTGACTTTTACTTTCCTGTCCTTTCTTTATTCCTTTGTCCTTCCTGTTCTTGCAGGCAACTACTTGAACGTGCTGTTTCTAGTATCCTCCCAAATTCCCCTGATTTCTTTATATTTTTGACACCCCTCTCCTGGCAATGACCTCTTAGGAACAGTGTTGTTGTATAGGAAGTGTGTCTGTATCTGTATCTGTGGCTCTCTGGGAAAAGAGACAAAAGATTAAGGCAGGGGAGAGAATGAGAAATGGGTTAGGAAGAGAGGAAAGAAGAGTAAGTGTCAGAGAGAGTCAGTCAGAGAGAGTCAGTCATGTTAGGAATTTGTCTGGTAGGCAAACCAAGGGCATTAGAATTGAGAGTGAAAGTCGGGCACAGTGGCTTATGCCTGTAATCTCAGCACTTTGGGACGAAGAGGCGAAAGGATTGCCTGAGCTCAGAGGTTCGAGACCAGCCTGGGCAACTTGGTGAGACCTCGTCTCTACAATAAATAAAAAAAAATTAGCCAGGTGTGGTGGTGCATGCCTGTGGTTCCAGCTACTTGGAAGGCCTGAGGCAGAAGGATTGCCTGAGCCCAGCAGATCGAGGCTGAGGTAGCTTTGAGCATGTGTGTCACTGCACTCCAGGCTGAGTGACAGAATGAGACTCCAACTCAAAAAAAAAAAAGCATTTGGGAGTCCGTTGTATGGGTTGAACTATTAAGAGACTGTAAATAGCCAGGGATGGAAGCCTATATTCTTTCATTTGCAGACATGGCTGTGTCCTCTTACAGGTTCCCTCCAGCTTCTCTCCCTAAGGGTTTCTGCACTGTTCAATGAGTACATGATCTTCTTTTCCTGGTTTCCACTGGAGACAAATCTCAGCGGTTGGGCTCTTACCTGACTGTAGACACTTTCCCAGGAAATCAATTTGCAAAATACTCTACAGGCCCCTAGTGGTTCAAGCAGGAAAACACATCCATGACTGATCACAGAGTGGCAAGGCCTTGCTTCCCAGGGACAGAAAATTAACTTGTTCCAGCCCAAATTTTGCCTCACTCATAAAACTTCCACCAATTCTTTTAACTCCAGTGTGGCTCCCTCAATACACTTCTTGTGTCTATACTTCAGCTCATATGACAGGTCTCCAGTCACTTATCCACAGTTCCTAAATCCCTAAAGCTCTAAAAACAAAGTTTTTTTTTTCAAAGTGGCCCCAAAACTCATTTAGGCATGACATCTGACTACATTGATGGTGTGAGGCTATTTACTTTCTTTATTTGTGCTCTGTAACCATTTCACATAATCCCAACACTTTGGGAGACTGAGGCAGGAGAGTTGCCTGAGGACAGGAGAATAGTGAGACTCTGTCTGCACCTTCTTTTTATATATTTTTTAATTTTAGAGTTGTGGGGTACAAGTGGGGATTTACTACTTAAGTAGGTTGCACGTACGTGAAATTTGGTCTTCTAGATGGCCCTCTCTCCCCTGATAGTGGACCAGGTACCCAGTATGTTGCCATGTACCCCTCCCTCCTCCTTCTCTCCTTCCCGTAACAGTAAGACCCTGCCTCTATCATCTATATAGAAAAATAAGAAATAATGTTATATTACACTTTATGTGACATATGGTCCTTGTTAGGCCATAAGTATCTTTGTGGAAGCAACTGTATTGTAAATTTCTTCTATATTTTTCATTGACACATTTAATGATCAAATAATTACCTGCTTATTGGCCAAAGGCTGACTCACCTGTTATTTGCAAGACACTCAAATATTGTCTTAAGTACACTCTAGAAAAGTTTTTGCTAACCTTACCTGCTTACTAGAATTACCTTGGGAGCTTTAAAAATATTAAAAATTGACCGGGCTCGGAGGCTCAGCCTGTAATCCCAGCACTTTGGGAGGCCGAGGTGAGTGGATTGCCTGAGCCCGCGGGTTCGAGACACGCCTGGGCAACTTGGCGAGACCTCATCTCTACAATAAATCAAAAATTAGCCAGGTATGGTAGCACGCGCCTGTAGTTCCAGCTACTTGGAAGGCTGAGGCGGAAGGATTGCCGGAGCCCAGCAGGTCGAGGCTGCGGTGGCCGGAAGCAGCCACTGCACTCCAGTGTGGGCGAAAGAGTGAGACTCCAACTCAAAAAAAATAAAAAAATAAAAAATTAAAATAATTCCAGTGACCTCTTCCAATGATATTGACTTAATTAATCTGAGTTGGAACCTAGACATCAGGTGGGGTCCAGGCATCTTGGAGCTTACATTACTCTTCCTCCTATGGCAGTTTTTCTGTAAATTGGTGTTTCAAAGACTGTTAACAAAGATGTTGAAGTGCTTAGATTATTAACTAATCTGATGTGGTGTATGGTAGGAGAAAATAACCAGTTCTTGGGATAAACATAGAATAAAATCTCAGCCCTTCCTTTTAAAAAAGCATTTGTGATCATGGTAATTGACTTTAACTCTCAGAAGCTGAGGCTTCTTATTTGTAAAATGAGATAATGATAGTACCTACTTGATATAGTTGTTGTGGGTTTTATATGAGATCACATGGACCATAGCAGGGCTCAGTGAACAGCAGCTGGATTTGGTGGTGATGTTGTTGGACTCACTGCCCACAGAGAACACATAAGTATTTCTGACAGAGTCCTTCTGGAAGCAGGACTATAACAAAAAGTGCAATACCATCAGTACCATCAGCACGGGTTTGAGTTTCAGTTGCTTTGGCTACTATGTGGATATGTGAGATCGTAAAGAACTCCTTAAATTTCTTTCCCTGCATGGCCACAGTTTATCTACTGTGACCAGTATAGCCCTTAGTCCTAAAGAAGCAAGACCACTGCTCAGGTCCTAGTCCCTCAGCACTCGCCTACACTTTGGAG